ATAATCCCTTTATCGCAACTATACTACTCGCACAAATACTTCTAGTTGTAAATAGTTGCACGAGCGAACCGTAAAACAACCTTTTGCGAACCGTGACAGGTACGTGCAGCGAACGGTTTCGCGGTCGATCTGCACGGGGTTCAAACTGATCACGGATCTGGTTCTATAGTTCTTACAGGGAGCTCGTACGAGGTAGGAAACATAAAAGCTAATTTTTTTTAACCCCCAATTCCCATAGGTCACATTATGAGAAAATATTGGAAATATTTCATCAGTTGTTCATTGCCATTTCATTGTCATCAGTTGTCATTTCTATCTCTATTGATATAAAACATGTTTTACGAGTTTACTCTGAGATACATGTAAAATATATTTTACTTTACTTTTTTATTTTTATTATAAATTACACATCTTTTGTTGGTGTATACATTTCATTATTTTAGTACACAAAAAAAATATGTTATAATTTGGACATGAGTATTATATTAGTATGGAATATATTCATATATTCAGATGCACATAAAATTTCAAATGATAGCAAACAAACCAAATAACACAAAACATACTTTTTTTCAAGATACTGTTAAAAATGAATGAAACCAAAATTCTGTCAACAATATTATGAATTAATATATCGGAATAGATACTAAACTGACTACTAGCCTTACTAGATTTACTGGAATGCATTAGAACCTATAAACTATTGATTTGCTTATGTTATAGAACAAATAAGAAAGTAATATTTATAGGTGCCTATGGGAATTAAGGAATTAACATTACATTAGGTATTTTTCTTTCCTTTTTTATTATTAAATTTTTATATAAATACCCTTAATTTCAAATTATCCTTTTTTTATGGAATATCATTTGTCATTTGCTATGTATATAATAGCTCTCTAAGTTACTCTCTAAGTAACTCTCTAGTTAATAAAAATATATTATAATGTATTCAACACTTATATGTGTTCTTCTATTAAAGTCAAGTGTAGATCGTCGAGAAGATAAACATTTTGAAGAAGGAAGTGGTCCCAGTCATGGTAAACGCCACAGACAACGAGCAAGTCCACATAGGTAGTGTATGAAAGACCAAAGAATTCCTAAATTTGTTTTATATCATTGTATTATCTATAATTTTAGATATATTCAGTCTAGTATATTGTATTCAAAATCTTATGTTTTGTTTTGTATTTTATGTTGAGTGTTTATTTTACAGTGGCTGTATTGGAAGGAATTCACGTTCAAAACGTGATAGAGAAAGAGATAGGGGCCGAGAAAGAGACAGGGAGAGAGAAAGAGAACGAGAAAGACAAGCTACACCTCCCACTGCATCTAGCAGTGGCTTACAAGGTTCATATTTGTAATGCTTCTTCTATGCATACATATATTAAATTTATCACTTAATATTAAAACAAGTATAGATCAACTTAAATTATATTGGAAAAAGACATTTTTCTGTGATATTAAAATTTTTTTATATAAAATAAGAAAACATTTCTTAGTAAAATAAATAATAAATAATACACTTTACTTAGCTACAGATGGTAGTGTCATAGCCAATAATCGAATGGCTATTGTCGGGGCTGCTGCAAATATAGAACATGAATTAGCTAATGGATATAATAGTGGTGATGAATATACTGGCAGAACTGGAAATAATCTTACACTGGCTGAATGGCAAGAGGTTAGTTATGAAATGATAGATAGTTATGACAATGGATAATTTTTATTGTCAAATTTTTTGATTATATTTTTTTTTTTTACAGCGAGATAGATGGTTTGAGAAACGAATGCGAAAAATGGGATTTATCGTCAAAAAGATGGGTGAGGATGGAGCATGTCTATTTAGAGCTGTTGCAGATCAGGTTTATGGTGATCAAGAAATGCATGGTGTAGTTCGGAAGCATTGCATGGATTATATTGTAAGTATTGAACACAAAAATGATAGAAATCCATTATTTAAAAATAAATTTATTAATTATATGGTGTGATTTTCTAGGCTTCCAATCAAGAATTTTTTTCTCACTTTGTAGCGGAAGATTTTAGCACATATGTAGATAGAAAACGACAAGAATATGTACATGGAAATCATATAGAGATGCAAGCTATGTCTGAAATGTATAATCGTAGCATTCAATTATATTGCTACAGTACTGGTCCGTGTCAATATGCGCTTGGTAAAGTTAATCTTTTTGTACTTTTAATATTAGCTTTTCTAATTTTACACAGAACCAATTAATATTTTCCATACGATGGTCGAAAGTGATAATGAACCGATACGATTGTCTTATCAACGTGGTAGCCATTATAATAGCATAGTAGACCCATATAAAGCTACAATTGGTGTTGGTCTTGGCTTACCTTCATACAATCCTGGTGCTGCGGATCGACAACTTATATCAGATGCAGTTCGTCAAAGCGAAGAATTACACATTGAGCAGGTGAAGAATTACTATAGTTAGTTGTTCTATTTAATATCGTTTTAAACTTTAAACTTCTACAATAAATGAAAAGAACAATTATTTTTGTGCACAGACGATGCTAGAAGATAAAATAAAAGCAACTGACTGGGAAGCAACAAACGAAGCCATAGAAGAACAAGTTGCTAGGGAAAGTTATTTGCAATGGTTAAGGGATAATGAAATGCGAAAAGCTGTAAGTTCCATGCAATTTTTATCTATTATTTTAAACGAGTAAAGTAAAACATTTTCTCGTGATTTAATAAAGAGATCAGCGAGCAGCAGCAGTACAAGTACAGTAACAAGTGCGCAACACAGTCACGCACATTTTCACCCTCATGGAGGTCGTGGTCAACAACGAAGCCACACTTCTTCTCCGACCACGACTCAAACTAGCCAAGATAATTTGCGTAATTCTCCAAAAGTCCGTTTCTAGTTATTAATGTTACTAAGACAGTGTAGCCTATATATATTATGTTGTATATTATGTTTTGTATGTTTTAATTTATAATTTCAGGTAAATGATTCGGTAAGATACAATAAAAGGTCTCCGCAACACCAGTCAACACAAGGATCTACCATGTCTCATCTTGCCTCAGATTTTGAATCTAAAATCTCGCAGGAACCTGTACCAGGTAGTAGTAAAGAGGCTCATGCTTCACCGGATATCTCGTTATTCAATCGTCTTCCCCCCGAAGTATTTGGTAAGTCAAGTATTAGCAGTTAAATTAAATGTCAGTAACTAAGTTACCTTATGATATATAATTATAATATAGGTACAGGATGTTCCGTTTAACCGAAAACAGTAGGATATTTCACAAGGGATTAAAGCTATATTTTAACAAAAGTTGTTTGATTTGAAGGAGGATATCATATCATACCTCTTACCAAACAACTTCTATTCAAACTTTTTAGGTTACGTTAATCCCTCATGAGATATTCTACTGTTTTCAGTTAAATGAAATACTATATAATTAATTTTAAATATTTTGATCAAGAAGAATAATTTTTGCTATGCAAAAATATGTTCGTAATTTACTAGGTTTGACTGATTGGGAAGACAGTGACATACTCTCGCAAGTTTTGGCTACATCACAGCAGGAATATTTAGACAGCTTGAAACAATCACGGAGTTCTGCCTCTTCTGGAAATGATACTAACAATATACTAGATTCTAGTAATAGTTAATTTTTAAAATCGTTATTGATAAAGTTCAAAAGAATACTGAAGCAAAAGTATATGCATTTGTATGCAGCGTTTTTCATAGGATGTGATATATCCGAAAAATAAGATAGTTCTAAATCAAAAAATGAAGCAATTCTTAGTGTTATCACATGGTCATTAGTCACTAAGAATCATCGACAGTTATGTTGAATGCATGCCTAATAAACTTAATTACCGGCTGCAAATCGTATCGCATTAATTTCTGCTAAAGTTATTGTGTACTTTAAATCAGATATGAGTTGAAGCATATAGCGAGTTTCCAAAGAAGTGGTTGGATTATAACTTTACCAAATATTAGCACAAGTGTTTAAGTGTTTAAGTTTATTAAGGATGCATCTGCTTTTCTCTATTAATAACAAGAAATTTAATCAACAAAGAAATGATCACGTAAAAGCATCAAGAATTGTTTTCTTCAGTTTCTTTGGTTTGACGTATGAGTTTGATAATGCATCTTATGGGATACTCTGTACATACTGCAGTATCATCTAATTCTGCATTGCACTAGGGTATAAGGTGGTTTGCTTTTTTCATTGGAAATAAATGTTTGGTGAGCATCGTTCAATTCAAGAATTGTTGATGTGTGCACGAGTACTCTAAAAGAGTACATACATCGCATTAACGTGCACACTTTTTGAAAAACTAGAGTAGCCATATTGTTTTGCCAGCAGTGTTTCACCTTATGGACAGGAACTTTTTTACAATCAAGTCTTAAAAAATAACCCATTTTTGTCGTTGTTCATCTATATTAAATTGTCTGCGTGTTCTTGAATGCAGCATTTACTATTGTGAATTATGCAATTCAATCAGGTCAACTGCGTCACTACATCCTTTTTTGTGGTATGATATAATACATCTAAACGCTTTAGGAAAAAATCTTTATTGCGTTATTTGTAAAAAAAGAAGAATAAAACTACTACATGTAATTTAATGCCCGAATTTTCCCTACCTTTGCATATGTGCTTTCGTTAATACATATGTATAGAGAATGTTTGCTAACGAATCTTAGAGACTTTAAATAGTATTAAAACAATACTTTATAAATTGTGAGCAAACAAGAATGCGTTTTTGTAAACACTTTTTATGAATAATAATAAATCCACAATCTATGCACGTCATATGCATATTCTCGAAATATAATTAGATTTCATTTGTGCATTCCAAGTTATAAGCATAAATGAAGAAACAACGAATTCCTTATGATTTTCATATGATCTTATTTGTTAATTTGTAACAATACGCCATTAAATAGGAAACTAATCGAGTCAAAAATCATTGTATTTTTTTTTGTAAAAAAATAGTTCTTCTTAAAAAGTAAATGTATTTAATTAATTATTATATTTAATTATATTATTCAATTTCAAATATCTGATTGGAAATAGATATTTCTGACATACCAGAAAAAAATTCAAACTTTATTGGACTAACTGTTTATATTGATCTACCATAACAAATCGATTGATGTTTAGTACTCTTAGCTAAATTAATTTTGTGAATTAATAATTCGATTTTATTCGCGTTTTTTATCATTTTTGTCAAAAATGTCCATGCATATAAATGATTATATATTCGAAACATTGTTAGGACAGGGGTCTTTCGGGTATGTATTCGTGCTAAATTAAATTTTCCTATTTTTCCTCATCGTCTATTGTTTCTAGATCAGTTTACTTAGTACGACGAAAGAAAGACTCTAAACCATTCGTAGTTAAGGAACAAATTCTCGATAATGTAAACGCACTACCTTTCAAGGTGAGGAAATTTCTTAATTGAAATAGGCCAAATTAATTGTTGTGTCACCATATCAAGGAGATGTACCTATTAATTAACTTTTTTTGTACATAAAAGATTGTCTCTATGCTTAATTTTATATACTATAACTAATTGCATGCATATTTAATGTGCTCAGAACATATCAGAAGAAGTGAAATGTTTGCACACTTTGAGACATACTAATATAGTTGCTTACTATGGAGCTTGGATAGAAGACAATCACAGTTACATTCTTATGGAATATGCAACGCGAGGCACTTTGAAAGATTTGTTAGAAAACAATGAGACACCACTTAAAGAGGAAGTAAGAACTTGGGAAACATTACATCTCATTATTTTTCGTCTACGATATTTTAAACATTTGATATAATATTAATATGTTAATACTAATGAATACATATGTTAATTTAGGATGCGCTGTATTTATTCTCCCAAGTCGTTCTTGGAGTTCACCACATCCATTTCAAAAAGATTCTTCACCGTGATTTGAAACCGGAAAACATCATGCTAACCGGAAGCCGCGGTGACATCGTAAAGATCGGAGATTTCGGCGTCTCGAAAAATTTTAAAGAGTATTATTCATTGTAAAGAAGTTACTTTATGAATATTAATAGTTTATGTTCAATATTTTTATATAATTTTATGGAGTATTATCATTATTGTACAGATTAACGAAACCATCAATTATATGTCGCGCTGGATCATTTTGTTACATGGCTCCAGAAATGCTAACGGACCAATCTTATGATTTCAAATGCGATATATGGAGCATGGGCGTCATTCTCTATGAAATGGTTTCAAAAAGACATCCTTTTCCCGCTATGGTAAAGTTAGATTAATTTAATCCGGATTTTAATCAATGTAATTTTTGACTTTATTCTATTTTTTATACGTATGGTATGTATCCCAATTTTCAGAGTCTAACAGAAATCATAAAAATGATTTGCGAAGAAAAACCACGGCCTCTTCCCCGAGGGACATCAACGTCTGTTGTTAGCTTGATATCAAAAATGTTGAGAAAAGATCCATTTTGTCGGCCGAAAATAGATCAATTGATCCTCTGCCCTTACCTTATATCTTTCATTATTCGGATATATTTAAATTTAGGACGAGTTATGAGTATTACTAACAAGAATAATGGAAATTTTAATCCGGAAATATTTCTGAAATTTTTAAAATCGTAAGTAACGTTTAAAAATTAGACACTAAAAGTTATATATTTAAATATAGATTTTCTTCATAGAGTAGTCACTTTTTATATTTATATTCATATAATTATTATATAGTTCTGTACATAATAAGTATTATAGTATAATGTACTTTATAATAATTACTGATAATTATTGCAGGTAGTCAGTTTAATGAAATTGTACAGGGAACGGTTATCGAACTCGGACTCTCTGTACTAGGATCAAAAGCGTAACGACAGGAAGCGAAGACCGGAACTGCGGAATGTTCGTTTTATTTCATCACGTGCATACCTTTTGAAAACCGTTCAGTTCGTATTTAGTTTAGTTATCATTCTTCTGCGTGTATAAACGTCGCAATAACTTCTATCTTCTGTTTATCAGGAAACCGTGTTGGAAGTTAAGTGTTAGCTTCTTGCTATGTAATTTAAAGTGTAAAATTTCCTATTTTCGTATTTAAAATACTTTAAATTCCAGAAAAATTTATAATAAAATACATAAGATAGAAAAAGATCCTCAGTTGTTTCCATGATGAAACATGTGATTGTGTATCTGCTTAATATTCTTTATATAATACCTCAATATTAAGATCTTATTTTTTTCATGAAATAAAAATTGTCTAAAATATTAAGAAAATGTGGTTGATTTTATTAGTATGTAATTGCCTTTACTGGCTAACATGTGCTTCTTCATGGATTCCTTTAAATCCGATGCTCGGAGAACAAATAGATCTCGTCGGGGGCGAAAACGAAAGTTTCATTCCCAATTGGACCAAAAGTATGGAAAATGACGAGACGAAGGATGTCTTTGATACTTTTGTCACCAACGATGCCTTCAACTCGACGCAGTTTCCATTCAATTCCATTGATCGAGATCATGATCTTATGGACGAGGTAGAACATATCGAACCCAGGCATTGGCCAGTTAGACCAGATATTGTATATACTCGGACAATTATTCCTCCAACCACAGAGATGCCGTTGCCACGAAAGCCACTTAATCCGCCTACTCTTGCCCAAAGAAATTCATCAACGCAGAGGTAAGAAATTTATAGATATAAAAAAAATTGACCTGTTAAAGTTCAATCACTTTAAAATGTATCTTTCATTTTAAGGTATCCACCAATCACACCACCACTATCTACAGCATCAATAGATGAAGTTTTTTGTGACTTTGGAACATTTCCAGCACAGACACTTTGTGAGTGGCAAAATGGTGATAGTGTAATAAACTGGGTAGCTGGAACTGGCATGGGTACCAATTGGATGGGTGGTCCTCCAAGTGATTATACCACTGGTACTATGGAAGGAGGGTATGCTTCAATATACATATTTATTTCCAATTCTATGTCTGTATAGTAATTCAAGTTTGAATTAGATATGCCTTCCTTGAAACATCACAACTGCCACAAAAGGATGGTAAAACAAAAACTCCAGGAGGACTGCTGCATAGTGCTCAACTAGGAAGTACAGGAGTTGTTGGAACTTGTATTATGTTTAAGTATAGCATGGATGGCCTCAGCGTCGCTGGTCTGAGAGTTCTACTTCATGTAGGTGTAGATGAATATTCTATTAAGAAAGAACAAACTGAAGAAATCACTCCAGAAAATGCGACTATACCGTCTTGCAAGCCACTGGAAATTTTTGACGAACGTGTCATTTGGAATGCTCAGTATTATACCCTGGGTGTTTGGCAGCAAACACAAATGCTATACACGTATCCCGAGTTACATTCGGTAATTGGATAACTTTCTTCCCGAATTAATATTTTCCTTGAGAAAAGCATCATGGTTTTCATATTCAGAACATTATGATTATCATATAGAAACATGGTATTTATTTTTAGTTGATCATCGAAGGAATTCCTGTGGATTCTACCGATCCAGCCCGTCTATATAGGGGCTACATAGCCATAGATGACATAGATTTACAGCCAGGTACTTCATGTATCGGTTTCTGCAATTTTGCTGGTGGATTTTGTGATTGGGCTAATGACGCAGAGGATGATTTCGATTGGACAATTGTAAGTTTATCATCAATTTCACTATTACGCTATAATATATATAAATACGTGTATAGAGTCGTGGAAGTGGGAATCCCACAACTGGACCCGCAATGGATAGTTCGATAGACCAATCAACAGCTGGAGGATATGCGTATATAGATTCTTCTTTTCCTCGTCGACCAGGAGACAGAGCCAGGCTCGTTAGCACCAGCTTTCCCGCATCAAGTGCCGATACACCTATGTGTATGCACTTTTGGTTCCACATGTTTGGCTCTGGCATCGGTTCTTTAAAACTGTTCATTCGTCATTTTCGAAATTTGGATGCAGCTCTCCGAGAAATTTGGAGTCTGAACGGAAACGCTGGAAATACGTGGTTCGTTGCTCAAATTACAATTAGCTCTCTGGATGATTTTCAACTCCTTTTCGAAGCATCTGTAGGTAACACTGAGATGGGAGATATTGCCATTGACGACATCTCTTTTACACAAGGTGCTTGTCCAGGTAAAGATTTATAAAAAATAGTTAATACATACAGAGATCTGATTGAAAACGAAATAGAGATCACTGTTGGTTTTTGAATATTCATTCATGTACACTTTCAGCTTTACCTCAAGTTGCCGTACCTACACCACGAGACTGCACCTTCGAAGTCGACGAATGTGACTGGATCAATTCTCGAGATCCTGATCGAGTGGAGTGGGAAAGAGTATCTATACAAGTGCTGAATCCCAGGAACCAACGAAAATCGTACAGCAATGGATATACAGTTAATCGAAGAAATGAGTATTTCCTTAATCTGGGACGTCCAAGAGGAGGACCTCGATCATCCGGAGGTGGAACAGCGCAACTCGTTAGTCGGGAAATGAAAGGCAGTGATGAGCCATTATGTGTTACCTTCTGGTACTTTATGTTTGAGTCTTTCATTGATTCTATCGGACCAAGCTTAGGTAGATATTTTATATTTTTTTCTTTAATTATTCTAATGTGCCTATAATAATGATGCAAATTCAAAGGTGTACTCCGTGTATTTATACAAACAACAGAAGAATCATCAACTGAATCAAGATCAATCTGGCAACTGTATAGTAACCAAGGACCCACATGGAGGTATGCACAAATCAATATAAACGAAAGGAAGAACTTCAACGTAGTTTTCGAGGGTACTTGGGGTCCCAATCGTGCTAGTGGCAGCATTGGCATTGACGATATTGCTTTCTATACTGGGAATTGTTCTGGTAAGCTTTCAATAAATTCTGTTTTTTCTAATTCTACCTCAAACTAATTATGTTATTACTGGTTTGTAGTGAAACCACCTGGTGCATCTGTGAGACCAGAAGATTGTAGCTTTGAGAAAGGGTTATGTGGTTGGGAAAATATTACTTCTTCTGAGAACGAGCGTACAGTCACTTGGCAGCGTGCGTTTCTTGCTCATCGTCCAGCTCAGCTATTGGATAAAACTTTTGGGGCAACCGGAGACTTTGTTTTCTTTGATATTTTTACTATAAATAAACAATCCACAGATGTACGTTTACGATCTCCCATAATTCAAACATCACCCGACGAAGAATCGGTTTGTTTCACTTTTTGGTTCGCTGCCTTTGGTGTTGAAGAATCTACAACGTTGCAAGTTATTAAAATGAATATCGACGAAGAAGTAGGCAACGATGAAGAGAATGATGGAAAACAACAACCTGTAGGTATTTATAATTCTTTGAGATCTAGGATATCCTAAAAAATCAATATTTTATTTGTTTTAGTTATGGTCATTAACAGCAAAAGGATTTAACAATCCTAGACCTGTATGGACTGCAGCACAGGTAACAATAGATGCACGTGCATCTTATCGTCTCATCTTAAGAGGAAGTGCTAGTAATGGAGGTTTTGCGATCGACGACATAAAGTTTCAACCTCAAAGTTGTACAAGTAAGATTCTTTTTACCAAATGAATAAAATAAAGAGACATACCATACTTTGATATTCTAATTTTGTAGTTCGACCAGCTGCTGCTCAACCCGTTAATAATGGAAATTAAACTATTAGAACTCATTATGATCTATATTACATTGTTTTTATGTCATCTCTTACAAAACTTATATGAAGTAAGCTTCTGTAAATAATAAATGCACAATTCATTCAGAAATAAAAGCCAAGGATTTATTTATACAATTGTGTAACATCTATCAAAAAATCTGTATCAAAGGAGGCTCTTTTTCTTGAAAAATTGTCTCCTAATTTCAAAGATAACAACACCAAGTGCTACAGCCGCATTCAAACTATCCACTCCTTTTACTAAAGGTATATTGATACGAATACCGTTCTTTTCTTTCAAGAATTTATAGGAATTAAAATTCAAACCTTCAGTTTCTCCACTTACAACAATTACAGTTTCTTTTTTTGTATAATCTACAGAATAGTATGGAATAATAGGTAGTTTTAACATGAAATCTCTCATCAGGTATTTATTTTTTGGTACCATATCTTCTTTTGATTGCTTATTAGTATCCACTGTAAGTTTTGACTTCAAATCTTCTGGATCAATATCAAATATTTGCAAACTTGTTTGAAGTATTTCAGTTGAATAATTGTGCAAAAACTCATCACCAAAAGTGCTATCTGCTACAAAAATGTTACTGTCTTCACTAATTAGCAATGGGATCTCATCCCATGTTGGAAATGCATGAATAGGTAGTTGGAAATGTGTACCAGCTGCACTTCTGAGAACTTTTGGATCCCACAAATCTACACATCCTGAAGATATTGAATCTTAATTTAATGATTATTCCTTTATTTAAAAAATTACTAATGTTATTTATATATATGTCATAAATTCATGGTCTAATACCTTTCATTAGGATTAATTTTTCACAACCTACTGCTGCAGCAGCCCTCATAATAGATCCTAAATTCCCTGGTTCTCTTATATTATCGCAAACAATAGTAAGTGGTAATGCATTATCAGCTGGTTCATTCTTATGTACATTTGGAGTTTTAAAAATTCCTACATTACAAAAAGAAATATAGACAAAACCATCAAAGTATTAAACTTCTTAATACAAAAGCTACATGTTTAAAATATACAATATTATTACCTAACAAACCAGGAGAAGTGGTTAAAGCAGACCACAACTGTATTGTAGTATATGGAACTTTGTATAATTTAACTTCATTGGGAAGTTTTAATGCAGCTATGTCAGATGAATCATTGAAAATTATTGAATGCGGTATTGCACCAGATTTTATAGCATCTATGATTAGTCTTTTTCCTTCCAGAACTATCTCATCATTTTTTTCCCTCCTCTTTCGTGACTTTAAATTACTCATCAAGGATCTATAAGCATAAAAATTCCCAAATAATTCTTTTTATTTTATACATATAACTTTGACATATAACTTTCTATTCAAGATTCAATATTTTATACATATAACTTTCTATTCAAGATTATAATAAAATCAAAAATAAGCAACTTACGATACAATTTTTTCATTTTCTTTAAGTTTTGTAAATAAATTCTTTTTCGCAGCGTTTTCAGTTTTTTCACTTTTCTTTTCTTGGGTGGGTTTCTTTTTACTCGATTTTCTCGCAGAAATCCTTTCTCGGCGAATCTGCGGCTGAGTAGTATCTTCACTTTCGAAAAGTTCATCTTCGTTAACAATTGCAATCGGTCTTCGACTAACCCACCTTGCATACGTCCGTATTATACACAAATTAACTGTCTTTAATTGTTTAGCATATCGAATTGGTTGAATAGTATTACGTACAATATTTAGAAATACCATCGTTGCCCACGTTTTAATACAAAATATTTATTTTTATTACTTATAACCTTTGTTCTAAACATTGCATAGTTCTTTATTAATTATGCAGAGCACCGAACACGTATATTTTGATGAAAACATTTCTCTGAAATATTATACTATTCACACAAATTAACTTAATAATTAACTTTAAAAAAATGTACACGCGTGTTTTATTCAAAGAGTTTAAAAACAGCAATAACGTGAGTTAGAAAGTTCGGAGCCTACGAGACTCGTTAAACTCCTGCTATAAAAATTTAAACTACTAGATGTCGACACGTGTCAATGAAACATTGTTCTGTGCTTTGGAACTTATAAATGTTATGGTCACCGAATAATTATTAATTTGTGTCATTCACAATTGATGAAATTATTAACACTGCAATGAAATTATAAAAGTTATTTCTAAATGTTTTAAGAATTGTCCTCTATTTATCCGCTAACTGATTCAAATCATATAAAATATTTAAGTGAAATATTCCCGCTAAAAAATATCAATTTTTGTTCGTAAATTTTTTATTAACATTTATTTCTATGATGATTAAATAATTGAATAGGATAAGTATGATGATTGGGATAACATATTTAATGTAAAAAGCCACGGATTCAATTTGCTATAGCTAATATTATCATAGTTATATTTCAAACATAAGAAAAAATATAGAGCAAATTAAACAATTATAGGGCAGGAAATTCGAAGCATATTTTCTCTAATTTATTAATTGGAATTGCCAAAGACAATTTTAGGGTCTAAGTATCAAATGTTAATTCAAAATACATGCATTAAAATTCAGAGTAAACAAAATAAATTATTATAGTACATGATCCCTATTAATTTACGTTAGAAAAGATTTGATACTCTGACCCAAATAATGTCTTTATCTTAAATTAATTTCGTTTCAGTTTACATAAATATACTATTTCTAACATCATCCAAGATATAGTTCTTCTTCTTAGTAATTTCACATGTATACATATGTTTATATGTCGCTGTACACACTTGAAGAACAGAATCTCTTACATTAAAATAGTTTAAAATAAGGTAAAAATATATAATATATATAGCTCATAATCTGTATCCAAAGAGATTTCAACCAGTCTCTAGTTTTGGATATCAGGCACTGATTCCACTATTGAAGAATCTTGGCCAGAAAGATCCATTCTTTAAAACTTAATCAATACAGTCAACATAGTAATAGTCATAGTAGCATAACAAATATATATTATTATATATTTGTGTACTCTGATATGCATGTAATGTACGCGTAGTTTTATGTGTGTCCATAGATGTAATATTTGTGTATGTGTTATTTTTCTGTTGTGTTATTATATGCAGTGTACGCACATGTTGTATTCAAAGAGATGTATATAAGTATAAAGTATTTATAGTCAAATATTAGAACCGCGATTGGTATCAAACCGTTCCATATAATTATTCAGAAGTTCTTTTCTTTTTTTTTTTTTTTTTGGTTTTTGTACGCTGTCATAGGAGCTGAAAATCATTAAAATCTCAGCATAAAATATGGATTAAGCCACGTAAATATCTTTAACCTACATCATTATTTTTCTGTTATACGATTACAAGAAACGTTTATATTTATTGTCTTTATATAATTAGAACCCTTAAGCCCTTATTACTTATTGTCTCATAATTCCTAATAAATTAACGCGATAAAAACAACTAATTTTTGAAATATTTTGTCTTCTTGGTTCGCATGAACAAGAAATTTCTTTCTATTCACATAATTATTGTTGTTCTTGATATGTTTGTCTAACAAAAACCTTTATGTTGAAAAAGTAATCAAAATATTTCAATCGTGAGTTACAGTCTAACTTTCAAATTTTGCGGGCAATCGGTCGAGCGCTTAAGGGTCGAAAGTCAAATTGATTGTACGTGTAATCGATACACATATAGTTTAAATAGGTATGTTGAACAAGATGTCCACTGATGCGTTTTCATTCCTTTTGTTTTTTCAAAAATTTCATTTTTATATGTAAGTATTTAATTATTATAATTTTTAATACACTATAACACTTTACATCTCATATATCGCAAAATTGAAATCGCATCCATGTCGATTGCACGTACAGATTACAAGAATATCTCTTAACAGTAATTATTGTCTTCGGTATAGTTCCATTGATTATGCTTTATTTATCTCTTATCTTAAGTATGTATATATATATATATATTTATACATATATATATATATATTGTCAAAATTTTCAAAATATTAGTCTTTCTATTTTATTGTCAAGTTCAAATAAGGCGGAGAAAACCAGAGCATAATAGTTTAATTTCTATCTTGGATTGGAATATCGATTATAGTATTATATCGATTACCGTTGCAGCCATTATTAAACGGTTTCACATTCGAAGAACATAAACGAAGATCCTGATAGAAGAAATAGATATCATAATAGATAACCATCGAATAGGTACGACTACCATCATTATTTAATTCTATTGAAATTTAAATTAATAATATAGTTAATAAATAAAATTGTGATAGACATAAAGTATCGTTTATAATTCGAATAACCCTCAACTTCGACTTATCTCCAATATTTGCTCAAATAATTGTAAACGATACTATATTGATGTCTGTAAATAAAATAAAAGAGAATTTTCTTATCTAAAAGTGTCTAAATATTTTTTAGATTAACCACGTTAAGAATAGAGTCTACCATAGGAACCAGGAGGCTGCCAATAAGAGTATTGTCATAAAATCATATAGCCAGATAAAACAATAATTACTAAATAAGCTATAACATTATTCTTTCTCGTTTGAAATCTTCAATCAATTTGGGAGAAATAATATTAGTATAGTATTTATATATTATGGCATCACTAATACTAGCATAATTAAAGATACTAATAACTAATATTAGTATAATTGAAAAAAAAGGAAAATGCAACATTTTGCTCATGTTTTCTCCGCTCAGCGGCACAAAGGTATGATTACGTTGCCGCCTCAGCCATATTTTCAGAAATAGTATTAAATTTATATATCTGGAAGATTCTACACAGGCAGCGGGTACGGCCGCGTAATTAAATCTGTGCGAGTTTAAACGAATTAAGAAAATATACATTTTGTAGCGTTGCCACATATCGAAACTTCTTTCCTTCCGGTTACGACTTTCTATCGATTCGTTCCATTTATTGACTTACATTTATTCGGGCATAGGTAACACACGTTGATTGAATCCAGATAACGCAGAGATCGAGATCCGAGATTTCAATGAAGGACAATGAAATCCTTAAGAACAATTTTCGATAACGACGGAGGAAGAAGAACGAAAATGAAAAGCCTTTTCGTGGGACGATACTCACTGCTATCAACGCAAGGATTTGGCTTACGAAAATTTCGGGGTATCGGAGATTGCCAAGAAAGCAAATGCGAATCTTTTCCATCTTGTCGCGTGCGAACGTATTCAAGGAATTCATACGTTGATCATTAGGATAGCTTCTTCGTATTGGAGATGTCGGCAGTCCGTCGAGATACTAACGCAACAAGTATTCACGAGACTGAGGACCGCTCCTCTGCAAAAGGTAGTTATTATAATCCATTTACATACAATATGATAGCTAGACTGAGGATATTTGTACTATTAAAAAATTAAGAGATGCAAAAATGTACAGAATTCATATAATATACAAAATCATAGAAAATATCTTAAGTATTCGTTCTAATATTTGAAATAAATCCTCATTTAAGCTCTATCTTTTTATTTATATTCATAAAAATATGAAACTACATAAAGATCCGCAGTATAAGGACATCATTATCGATATAAAAATGTGGAGCGAGATTTCATTTATTTGAAGCCGGAATTTCATTGAGTTGTTATAGGTTTGACACGAAGCTATTAGAGCGTTTAGTAATTTAAAGCGTTTAGAGTGTACTATGCATACAATTAAGGAGGAGACATAAAATTAACGGAGGAAAAGGAAAAATATGAACTAAGTATGTTCATTAACACATTATTAATTATGAATATTAGAGAAACATTATTTTTTCCGTTTCTCTATTAATTTTAATGAATGGAATGATTCCATTGCCATTTGTTACTCACCGTCCAAGCCTGACCAATATTTGGCACGTTCGATGTATGTTGACCTTGACCGAATTCATAATTAATTTTCGTCGGCATTCGTAGTGTCGGCTTCGGAAATTGCTTCCGAGATTGCATATGAAAAGGTTGCTCGTTGTCAACGGTATCCTTGAAGGTAAATGTCTTCTCTGCGAGTTGTTCAGCTTTATGTTGTTCCTAAAATGTTTAATTTAGTAAAAGAGAAAGAAAAATCATAGAAAAATATTCCTTATTTAAAAAAATAATAATTTGTACTACTTCAATGTTTGAAATTATCTGGAGACGAGCAAGAAACTTGGCTAATTTATGAGATATTTTCATTGTCACTAAGTTTGAAGTATCAGTTTAAACAATATGTTATGAATAATTAGTATATTGCCAATCGTTTGATAATATTATATTATTTTTAAGAAATCTTTTCCTAGAAAATTGTTAGAAAGATACAACAAATTTTATTTCCCAATTTCATGTTATTAATTTTTCTCAAATGGAATTCGTTAATTTTGCAATTCACTCGATTAGCAAACATTTAAGTATATTTGACTCAATTTGGTTATTAACCTGTAGTTCACGAGCTCGTTCAGCGCGGAGTAATTCCTTCAAATGCCGAAAACTGCCTGCCTGAGGAACCTGAGGGGAACCAACAATCGTACGGTATTTCATGTTTGGATGTCGATTCGGTGGATACGAATTGATTGTTCCGAAAAGTCGCGGGAGTTTGTCGAAAGGCCGTGCCGGAGGTCGCATTCCATTTCTTAATCTGCTGTTTGCTGGTGCTTTATGTACCATCCTCCCATAAATTGGAGCACTACTTCCTGCACGGTTACGTGCTCTTCCCGTATACCTTCCTGCACATTATTGCCAGGTAGAATGAACAATATTTAATAAAAGATTATAATATTCAGTAATAAAAGAATTTCGTTCTAGATATAACTTTACCAAAATGAGGAAAATGTTTCATAAATTCAAAGTACCTTTATTAAAACTAAACCTCTGTAATGGGATTAGAAGTTCTAAATATTGTATACTTCCTTATTAATTTATTTTCATATGTTGTACGCTTTCTTTGTAATTGTTGCTTCAACATAGGCGCCCCTTTGATCACTTTGAATTGTAGTAGTCTCAGTAGAGGACAAGTCAGACATTATTCTGTATTACTTGGTATTATAACATAAAACTGATTTTATTTATCTATCGAATTATTTAAATTGTAAACAAACATTTGAAAATAATTTTTGTAAATGTTATAAGTATTAGGAGGAAATAACTCTATTACCTTTCTGAATAGTCTAATTTTAAATCGTTCGAATATTTCTTGTATAATAAGTGGTATCACTTATTTTAGTTCTTTATAAAGTTAGATCTTCGTATTTTATTATGAATTTTCTGCAGCAAGTTTAAGTCAGAGAGCACTCAAGGTAATGTATAGGCAGGCATCAATAATTCGATTATTTTACTTCTTTGCTTATGTTTGGCCTCTATTGTGAACTACACAGAGCTAGGCCTTAATTAAGCGAACAAACCATACGGTAACAAATTAACATGTAACTTCAAAATCATTTAATTTCTCCGTCTTAGAATGAATATAACAGCAAATAAAATAAAACATAATATTACAATAGTTTAATGAAAACAAGAAAAAAATAGAAAGCAAGTATTTGTCAATTTAAATTTTCTCATTCGGTTTACAATAAAATTAACTTTTTTACAACCCTGTTCCGCATAGAAAAAGCTAAGCAAACATATCAAATTCCATTCATCCACTGCAAACTGTCTTAATTAAAATAAAAACCCAAAATACCTCTCTTCTTAAAGTTTAAGTATACCCTATTCAATCTATCTCATTTTATGCTTACCTTTACAATACGTTTATTTAAAGATATTTGTATATAAAATTTTCTGTAGTAAATATTTTGCATTTTTTTTGTTTATAATCGTTTTTCTGTAATTCTCTTATTAACAAAATTTCGTTATACCTTTTTTTAGATAATGTAAACAGTAGAATGAGTGGACATAATGCTATACGCAACTCCTGTAAGATCGTCTTACCACGGTGGGTGTGAAGGGACTTGGGGCGTTCAGGATAAGACTTCCAGACGTTGTACGAAAATGGATCAGGATAAAGAGAGTATCCGGTAGTGGTTTTAGCAGCCCTGCTTTGTCGCTTGGTGTACCTCCACATTGCCCTCAATTCCTCGCATGTTGGCTCAGTCAGGTCAACGCGCTTCTCGGCGATGTCGCCGGTGTTCCCTGATTGCGGCGAGATCGGATCGATGTATCGTATACCGGCCACGAACGGGCTGCTTGAGAACGTTAATACAAAAGCGGTCCATACAGCCAGAGTACGCATTTTCTAGGGAATAAAATGTCCAAATTAAGATCCAAAATTCAATTCAAAATAACAGAAAAGATGATTTCTTTTTATGTACTATTATCTATACAAAAAAAACTTCTTATTGGTATCGAGAAAGATTATAATTCTTATCAGGATTACGAGTAAATTGTAAATTAGTATATGAGAAGAATATAATCTTCTGGCTTCTTTTTCATATGAGGTGTTTAAAAAACATTAAGATGCTCATTTTAAACAATATTTCTTTTTATTTGTTATATTCTTTTTATTATCAAGTATTCCAACTGATTGAACAGATTATCAAATTTTAGATGGAAACAAATTAATTTAGTTGATTAGATAATTAGATAATTAAGATTTATTTATGATGCAAAAGGAAAATTTAAAAATTAATGGAAACAGAAAAATTATATAATATAGTATTGAACAAATCCCTTTTCTTTCAAAAGAATAAGCCCTGTATTAAATATGTATATTTGTGAACAAATTTTGTAATAGATTTGAAGAAATTGAAGAAATTTCTTGAAGTGAAGTGAAGAAATTTTGCAATAGATTTGTTTAAAGTAATTTTTGATATATTATTTAATCATGAGCGGAAATTGATTTATTTTAATATTGATGTTGAAATAGCATCCAACCGGGATGTATTGGATTCCCGAAATTAATTTAATTTCCATTAGTAACTGAATTACTAAACTTTCTCGGATTAATGGATAATAGTTATCCAATTACGAGTTCCTTTTTATGTATGGCGCTACATAAAATTTAATCATTCCCAACACTCGTGCTATGGAATTTCTATGAAGAATGGTGTATTCTTGCTTTAACTTGTTAATTGAATACTGGAGAGAGATCAACTGCTCGGATTTCTCCGAATTTAATCTCGCTTGGCTATTGAAACAATACTCTAGGATTTCTTTTAAAAACTAACAATTTCGACTTCAAAAGATAATCCTCGGAAAAAGTCACAATGAATACTAAAACATTTATTGAGAACCGTAAAATTTAATTTTAATATACATAGATGCAAGATTAATATTAGTCAAAAGATTAAATATATGTACCTATATGTATACCTTTTTTTATTATATTTACGTGGGGTTTTCCATAATTCTTTATGAAGTGGATAACTCGTTATACACTGGTATTCTTTACTATTATTTTTATTATATATTGTCAATTTATTTCGTTCTTTACATTGCTGTTATTATTATTATTATTATTATTATTATTACTATTATTAATCATTACTTAATGAAGCCAGTGACTGTTTCTTGATGGAATTGGGTACTTTACGTCATCTGATTATTATGGCTGCTCCCTCTTTCTTTAACATAAATCTTACCTTTGTGTCTTTAATCAGTTGTACAATTTAATGTATAGTGGCAACAATCTGAACGACATTATTCTATAATTCAGAATAGCTGTTTCTTCTCGCATTCTGTTTCTCGGCTTCGGTTGTGAGGTACAAAATATATATAAAGATATAATTTGTATAAAATATAAAAATATATGAAATTAATTGCTATCTAGAACAATGACTCCTCGATTAGATGAAGAAATTCAACAGAATATTTAGATTGAATACCCATTCTTAATATGAGGAAAAGAAGAATTTGAACTATTTTTAACCAGTTTCGATCATTTTTCACACACTCAGCTCTTTCTTCCTTACATTTTCGGTATACACATCATAAATGCTACGAAAAACTCAAACTAAAGGATATGACAATTGTATCATTCAAGTGAAACATTAATAACTACACGGTAAAAAGCTGGAAGAAAAGTAAACTAAAAAAGGAACTAACTTAAACAAATAGAAACTGATTACCTCTTACATATTTGGTGGCTACATTTTTCTCTTAAATTTTAAAAAGTACGTACGTAACAAAAAATATATTTTCATTGAAACTATTAGTATATTATGTACATATTTTTTTCTTTCCTCAGGAAAAGGATTACTGATCGCGTAGCTGCTTTTCGTTACCAACTCTAACAGCTGTTTCTCGAATATATCCTCCCTGCTCGTCGTTCTCCCATGGCAAGTTATATTTCAAACGTGGCTGAGTAAAATATGAAAAATTACCTCCTCCGTCTCATTCTGCAATTAACATGGAAAGTCGGAAAAATCTAATTCCACTCTGGCAAAAACTCTTTGCTTCAGAGAAACTTAAAATAAACCAGAAGCCAATGAATTTACAAAGTGCCTAATTAAAGAGGAAAATACGTGTAAAGTAATAAGTTTCACCTACTGCTTATTGAAAATTCGATAGAAGCTGTTTTTTCATCCCTTAAAATATAATTTGTTCTCGGTAAAAAATCAAGTGAAAAATGAAGAAAGAAGACTGTGAAAATATACCTGTAACATTGATCGTTAATACACGTTGACAGGATATCGGTGGTCGAGTAGCTGAGCTACGAAGGAAGAACGTTTTTCACTGGCAACTTCGATAAATCAAGGAGAGCAGCGAACGAGAGAGCGAGCAAAGAACGAATCGCATGAATGGAACCAGCGGACACACGGGGTGGAAAACGAGGGTGAGGGAGGGAGAGGAATAGAGAGAGAGAGAGAGAAAGAGAGAGAGAGAGTGCCAAGGAAGGAAGGAGGTCAAGAGTGGAACGAAGAGAAACTGGTGAATGAACGAGAGTCGGATTCACTAACCTGCTAGTCCACGCAGTCCGGAAACCGAGGAACAACTGAGAGAGGTGGTATCATCGAGGCAACTATTCGCCTTCCTTTGCTGCCCCCTCTTCCACAGCACACCCCTTCGTTCGTTTCAAACCCCTCTACGCGGGCTCTGTCGAGCCCCCTCTCTCTTTTCTCTCTTTTCTCTCTTCCTCCTTCTCTCTATTCTCTTCTTCATACTCCAAAAGGAGCTTTTCGTCAGGACGTTTGGCTGTTTCTAAGAATTCCTGTTCCTTTCTAAGAATTCCCTTAGTCTATTTTCCCTTTCTCTATTTTAGATATGCATAATTTTATCCTCCTTCCTATAGACTATAATTTCTTGAAGTTAATCTTTTGACCTTACATTTGTTGAACATAATAAAATGAATAATATAAAATGAACTGTATTTATGCTAATGGTTATAGAAGAGCTATACCATTTTTTTGTTTTTTGGAGATTACTTTTGTATAGTATCTTCTTGACTTCATTCTTTTTTCTTTCACTCCATGATTCATTGAATACCATGAATATTATATTGTTCAATATCATAACTATGTAAAATTAATTTCGGTACATTATATATATTGTCTTTGAATTTCTTATGTTTCTGTTAGAGCCAGTAAGTCTTCCAGACCTGAGGGTTATGATGTCGTACGGCTAGGGTGGCAGATCACGAATAAGCTTACGCTAAGTTCCGGTCCGCCTGCGCAACAAGTTTCTCCCTGGGACTTAAAATCGTTGTAGCCCGTACCGTCAATCTAAATAAGAAGTAGTTGCGTCACTGAAATATCGGATTTACCAAAAAATTAACATTGAACTCTTTCCAATGTTCTTTCGGATAAACTAAATGAAAGATCAATATCTCATTTTTCTATTTCTTTCATTTATAATTTTTTCACTTTTGAAATTCTGATTTTATCAATAAATTCATAAATATATCTAAATTTATATAAAACAGAGATATTTTAATTAAGATCAAAAATGTTATTTATAAGATTTGTGAAACTAATTAATATGATTTTAGGCTTGGAGACCTTCGTGGCTGACTAGTGTACGATAAAACTCCTTAATGCTTCAGTACTAGGTATGCGTATACATATAACATGCATACCTATTCCACTGAAATGAACACCTCGCTATCTTTCACGTAGATATATTTTTCATTACACGACATAACAAGATCTAGAATTGAATGAAGCTAGAAGACAAAGAAACTTAGCGATATTTCTCCACCGACACCGCTCATTTCTTCATATCTCGATGAAGAACCATTATTGTCCCAGAAGAGCTAGTCTTATCGGGATGGAATAATCAACGCAAAACAATGCCTTTTTAGTCTTCTAACGACGTCAACAGTACTCTCTGATACAGGTATCGAACGTCAAATTAACAGGCTTCTTGGCTGGCACAATTAAACTTCGAAATTTCCGCAATTTCTTTCAGAGCAGTAAATTTCAATCTTTGTAGGTACTTATGTTGTTGGCGTGATTCATCAATCTTTCGAAATAACGATTACGAGAAGGAGGTGGCAGAAAGACACGAGCCTACGTAAAACGTGTAAAGCATGAATTTTTGGAAAAGCACAAGGGTAAATGTCAATTTTAGGGCAAAGTGGTTGTGCCTACATTCGTGCGTATAATCGAAGAGAGGGGTGAAACCCCCTCTCTTGTTAGCCACCCACGGCATTCCAGTAATCGGGCTACCGTTCCCTCTTCTTCACTCTACCTTTCCCCTCGATCTTTCAAGGCCCTTCCCCTCTGCTAACCCCGTGTCACAGCAGTGCGGCTGCTGAATGACCGAAAGTGGGGGTAACTCATCTCTCCTCTAACTACCCACGCAATCAATAGCAGCCTTGCTGCTTCTACTGAATGGACTCTGCCCTCCACGGCCTCCGCTGCTCTTCGTCTGCTTCGAACCGGCTTCTATCCTTTTTCACCCTCACTCTATCGATTACTACGCCCTTGCCGTGCGATCTTGCGGGGGGCCGCTCTATCGACCCATCCACCTGTATTACAGTTCATTCATAAATCTTTGCTGCTTTTCACTCGGGATTGCAGCTTGTTTCATCCTCTATTGGTCGTCTAAAGTATATTATTGCATATATTTTCATATTTCTACGTCTGGTTGTTGTTTATCGTAGGATTTATAAACATTAAAATCTGTAACGAAAAAAAGACACGTGTGCTTGAGTTACGAGGAATATCAGAATACCATGTATACTCTTTCCGCGGTAATAAATTGATAAATGACTTCTGTTTTAATATCGTGCGGTTTTATGTCAATATTTGAATGAAGATTGCTTGGCGAAGGCAACTTTCTTTGACTTTCTGTTTGATGATATAAGAAATGTGGGGTACTAGCCAATATAATGATGTTATAGATAAGCTTCACCCATATAGGATCCAATCAGTTCACAGTCGGAATGATGAAGAGATCCTTCAATAGACATTTATTTGGCAATGATTGAAATGAAATATTTAGGATTTCCTTTTAGACAGGAATTTGTAATATTCAAAGAACTAATCTAATACAATATTTTGTTCATTTTTATATCTTTCCTTTTGAAGAGTAGGGAAGAATGAGAGAAAGTTAACGAATAAATTTTCAAATAGTTAATAAAATGTGTTTATTACATTTTTATTAAATACTGTACATTATTTCATCAGTTTTAAATGCACGAGTACGTGTTACAAATTAATTGATGATAAACATTAGATGCATCTACAATTAATCATCCAGCTATTAGCTTTATAGAATTTTTCATTTAGCTAAACTCACATTGTCGCTTACTTAATTTAACTAATGTTGTCGAATGTTGCAACGATCATTATAAAATATGTACGTAATATAATACGTATGTGGATATAATAACCACATTCTTAGTCTATGTTTATCTATTACAGTTGAAATTTAGAACATAAACAAAGATCGACATCGATATTTGCATTTTGAAACGATAACCTTACTCGAGAGTCCTTTTGACTTCAATAGATTGGATGGTTTATCACGAAGCTTTTTAAAATCAACATATTTTATAATGTGTTCAATTAATCGCATCATTTTATTATTTTAAGAATATATACTCGTTCGTTGAAAACACTTATCTTATATTTCTAAAATAATCTATTGTAATGCACAAGCATTATCCGTAAAAAGTTAGATGTTTACGTTAGTGGAACACCAATATTACGGTTTATATGACATGTATCAAGTGGGTACTTCAAAAGAGACGTAAAAAAACATTAATTATACGCAATTGATTTTGTCTTTAACTGCCCGTGGAAGATCATCTCTCGCTACTCCAGTAGCTCTTACCAATAACTTCTGTAAACGTACAAGTCATTTTACACAATATAAAATGGAGAAAATGTTTCACAGATATCACTGAAGTATAATTAAATGCTTTAGCATGGTGTGAACATACCGTTACTTACCTGTACGATTGCTAACAGGGCTACGACTTCGAGAATAACTCCGACTGTAACTACGACGATTACCACGACCGTTGTGTTCCCTACTGTGACTTCGACTTCTACTTCTTGAATAACTACGATCTTTTCCGTTTCGGCCACCTCGAGACCGCCATCTATTTCTTCCGCCTAAAAATATCCACTCAATTAATTAATATTTTCTGAATACGTAGAAACTACTACAAATATACTAAGAAACTGGAAATATTAAGTGAAAAAAATTAAGTATTTCATCATATTCAAGGTAATAGGAGATTTTTGAAGTATAAAAAGTTAATGTAAATGATAGTTAGAAGAGATTATTTTAATAGGTAAAAGATATATAAGAGTACCTCTATGCCTGCCATATCCACCACTCTTACTATCGGCAAGTTCAAGTAATTTTGGATTGATAACTTGGTTCGCTTCTTTTAATACCTGGATTAGGTCGTTAGCCTTATTCGAATTATTAGGTGTAAAAAAGGTATATGCTGTACCAGTTTTCTGTCGACGACCTGTTCGACCGATTCGATGAACGTAATCTTCCGAACAGGAGGGATAGTCAAAATTGATGACAAACTTGACGTCTTCAACGTCTGAAATAAAGCATTATGTATTAGCTGTTAATCACCAAAAGCATCCGCCTCCCAGACAGACGTCAGTTAAGATAGTAGTATGGCAAGACGTATATAAAATATCGTATTAAATATCTCAATCACTTATTTTAAAGTAATATTTAGATTAAAATACGCTCTCCAAAAGGTAGTACTACAGTCATTCACCTATGTCACCTCAACTAAGAGTGTCTTATAAATTTATCTGACTATATGTATTGTAAGCAAGTTTTAATATGTACATATATAAAGAAAAGGAAACACACACATATAAAAAATCTTGTAAAACGTATCATTTAAAGATTTCTTAAGAACAAATATTTGCTTTTGTTCTTAACTTCGTTCAAATAATAAAATGAAATAAAGATCAAAGGAACTAAAAAGAATACTATGTCTTTAGAGAGCGTTTTAACTAAAGTATAAAGTGCTGAAATAAATTTCCGCGCGAAAACAATTCTGGTTCCCTTCTCTAACAAAAATAATATTTATTTTAATATACATTTCTATTAAAAAAGTAATATTTCAATTTCATAAAAATATATTTAATTTGAAATACATACAAATATTCTTAATCTGTATACATAATTGAAAAACAATATGAATATTTAAATAAAAAGAAACCAGAATTGATATACATAGAACCTTATTTGATATGATAGTTAGTATAATGTGAATATGTAATGATATAGTTATCATGAAGGATTCAGGAAGATAAAGGAAATGTAAATTCAAATGGATATAAAAGTGATACATGTGTGTATGTATATAGAAATATACATAAATATATATACATACACATATAGAATGTTTTATAAAATATTTAAAATTCTTAAACTGAAAAAGAACAAGGTAGTTCTTGGCAGTATTGTGTGACCATTAATCAACAACTTTTTGAATTCTCACATAATGTATATATAGGAGATAATTTTATGTATAAAATAATCTTTGAGAATTTTATTGTATTATATAAAGTTGGTAAATGATGATCACAAGAAGATATCAAGAATTATCTTGTTTTTTATTCAAGAACTTCTCATACATTTCAGTATGTCAGATTTTACAAAACATTTTGTTACATATGTATATGCAAAAAGTGTACATATTGAGACCCCCAGATAAATGCATTTGAACTGTACTACATCTTTTTGAGGAAATCTAAGATATTTTTGATTAAATGAAATGTTGGGCAATTCTTAATTTAGAAGACACTTAATGGAATTTTTTTGATCAATTTTCAGATACACACATAATTCAAATACAATTACAATTTTTAATTGAGCTACACAATTAGGCAATTATATCTTCCAAATAAACAATCACACAACATTTAGATATCGAGCGAAGTTTCTCTTTAATAAAAAATTATCTGAGATTTCATTGAATGGGAATGTTAATACAGTCAAATTACCTTTTTTCTGGGTGGCTTATACAGCTATATATATATAGCAATTAATTTAAGATTACTGTTATACTAAAATTAGGCAATGGGTGAGTGTCGCTAGCAACGTACGGGCAGGGCCTGGCTGTTTGCGCTCGCTCCAGCTACAGCCTCCGCCATTCTGTTGCTACAGGGCACACTTAGAGGCTCTGGCATCAGCTACCATGCCACCGCCTCATTGGACCGTTGTTGGGTCTGATTAGCTTGAGCGGCCAGCGCAGGGGATTCTATTCTGGCAACAACGACTTGGCCAGCCCAGATGGCGTACAGCGTAGCGTAGAACTGATATCCAGTATGTAGGAGGTAAAGTAGACCCCGATTTGGCCCGGACTGGCCTTTCACGGAATTGACGTATAGAGGCACGCGTCGCAGCCAGCGCAGACAATGCAAACTAGTGCACCACCGAACAAACAGGCGGCGGGCACCCCCAATTTGCTTTGCATTACCCGGCGTAGGTCTGCGCGCAATGTGCCTCTGCAATACAAACAAAGATCCAACCGCGTTAGGTACATGTTTATCTTATTATCTTCCTGTGTTCAATATGAATTTTGTATTACAGTATTTCATTTTATTTTTGAATTTTTTGTTTTATCTCTTTTTATCAACTATTATTAACAGAATTCTGATAATCTCAATGAAGGCGATTTTATGGGAAAGAATATCTCTAAACTTCTATTTAATCATCTGTGACTTACGGCAAGCATAGAACATTTTTATTAGATTGACCTTAAGTTCAAGTTATAATTACGTTACAAATATAGTAATATAAAATGGTGCATCAGCACTTTATGAAGTTATTCAATTCTTTAAGAAAGTAACGCCTTACATCTCCACTATGAACTGTACAAGTACTTGTTTCTGACTTTAGAATTCATTTGCTTTCTCTTTAACTAGATCAATTGCTTCTGTACCTTTATAAATCAAGAGCTTGCCTTTATAAATCAATTGCAACTTGTTTTTACTACCTTTCTCTCATGTATTATTTAAAAATTATTACCTTTAGCAAAAAGTGAGGAAGCAAAATAAACACAAATATTAGAAATGCTGAATGAACCACGTTATGCATTTAAAACACTACTTATCTATTATCTATAATTTTAATTTATTTTCAAAGAATAAAATTTTTTAATATCTAAAATTTTGAAAAATTCCTACAATTTTCATTAACTTTTACTTATCAATACTTTAATGAAAAAATTTATAGTTATTTTCTTTTCAGTCATAAAGTGGTTCAAAAGATCAATGAAACCTTGTTCTGATTATATGAAAAGTTATCTGTATTAATATCAAAAAAATGAAAAATGATAAAAAGTACATCCTCATTTTATTTAGGATAATTTTCTTAATTCCAGTTAACAAGTTTATCATATTCTCCGTTCAGTAATTATATTTTTAATATCACGTCAGAACAAGATATCTCATATACTGCAGTAATTATTAAGCTCACTGGTAGAAATGTGATTTAGAGCAATTCATTCTCCGTGTCAAAGGAAAATGATCAATGACACTTGATATTTTATTATATTATAATAACAATTGTTTACTTACCAAGACCACGAGCAGCAACATCTGTTGCGACAAGAATTGGCGCTTTCCCTGATCTAAAATCTAAAAATTAAACATAAAATTTAGTTTCAACTATACTTCAAAACATTGTAAGTATCCAATTAACAATGTTCACCTTGTAAAACCCAATCCCTTTCTTGCTGTGTCTTGTCACCATGTATACAAACAGCTGGCCACCCATCTCTCTTCATTTTTCTCGTTATTTCATCCACTCTGCGTTTTGTCTCAATAAATACTATAGTTTTGTTTTCACTTTCTGCCATTATTTCTTTTAAAAGTGTGCTTAATCTATAATTGAAAATAAAATTAATAGTAAAATTTCATTGAGCTTTCCAACAGCTTTATAGATATGTTTAATTTCTTACTTATTTTCTTTTTCGTAGTCTTGACATACATCAATAATTTGTAATATATTATGATTTGCAGCTAACTGTAGGGACCCAACATTAATTTGAGCATAATCTTTTAAAAAATCTTCAGCTAAATTTTTTACTTCCTTGGGCCATGTAGCTGACCACATTAATGTCTGTCTATCTGGCCTAATTTGTTCTATGATCTTTCTAATTTGAGGTTCAAATCCCATATCTAACATTCTATCTGCTTCATCTAATACTAAATAGGTACACCTTTTTAAATTTGTACGCCCTGATTCAAGAAAGTCTAATAATCTACCAGGTGTAGCTATGACAATCTCTACCCCACCATCTAAATCTCTGGCCTGTGCACCTTTTGGTGCTCCACCATATAGACAAGTGTTTCTAATACCAGAGGAATGA